ATTTATCAAGGCAGAGTTAAAATTATTCTTCCTGAAAAATACCTTGGGTGTACAAAATTACACTCTGAAACCGGAAGCTTGTGAAATGCAGTATTATGTAAGAAAAATTTGTATGCATGCGAGTACTTCTTCGAGTTGTTCAGAGTTTTAAAAACTGTACATTTACACTCATCGATCCAATATCCAATGATTTATTTAAATTTGTCAAGAGATCCGGGATTTCAAACCTAGTTCATCAATTGAATCCCCGCTAACCTTTCAATTCGCAATGAAAATCTCACGACTTTGAAACACTATTGAACGCCGATTTTTATCTAGGAAATCGTGATGAATTGCATGATTGCTTCTTCTAGAATATGAAAACTCTAGGTCAAATTTTGAATTGAAAAACCAGGAATTTTTTTTGACATGAATGCCTTTTCGCGGGATTCGATTTTTCGAACTACTGTATTCATTCCTTCAAGTCCATGAATGTGGTTTTCTGAGGGAATCTATTTGACTCCTCGAATGGCTCTTCCCCGATTCTGACGACTCTAAATTTGAAAAAAAGGGGTGTCTAAAATAATGAGAAATAGGGGAAGTGACCTAAATATTCTTTACGTTGATGAACTACTAACATTATGGTGATGAACAAAGCCCATCAAGTCGTATTTCGGTCATGATTTGGCCTTCGCAAGACTGAGTGAAACCACGAAAACTAACTACAGTACAGTCGAATTTCTTCACTGAGAATACATTTATTCATTCAAAATGAGCCTTTCAGATAATTACTGCTTTCCCTCACGGTTAAATCGATTTTACTTGGTTCGATCGAGTCCAAAATTTCACTTTCTCAGATCAGGATAAGTTCTTGGTTTCGGGGTTCAAAAATTTCGAAAAGTTGCCAAAAAAGTACTGCATAAGAGAAAACCGTGCACCTTTCTTGAGATTGCTTCATCGACCTTCGACGCTCTAATTTTATTCGACAAAAACACGGAATCGGAAATTGCGAAAAGTGTATTTCATTTATGCAGGGCCAATGGGATTTTCTGTTTTTTTTTTTTATAATGATCTTGGAGGGATTGCTGAAATCCCCTTATGTAAATTCATAAAACACGGAATTGGGGCAAGCTCTAGCGGGGAAATGCGAGCATTTACAGATCTCAATTATCTCCTCGCTTTAAATTATACTGTATGAGGAAAATTTTGAAAAGTGATCAGAAAAAATTACTCGGCAATTATCACGTCCACGCAACGAGACTTTAAAAATATTGTACCCGCATGTAAGACTGACCGAACATGTGAACTAACCTTCGCACGTAGTTTATTCGATAATCCGAAATTCTGCTTTTTCAAAGCGCTCGGATTTTTCAAAGCGATGCGACCACAGCGTCACTTTAATTGCCCGGTAATTACGGCCGGGACTTCGCGTTTTTCAACCCACCCCGTCCCCGAGATTTTCCCGTGTGGCGGAAAACACGCAAGCTCAATTTCCTCTCGGGTAATTGAAGTTCTCTGGGTTTTAGGCGGTATGCGAAACGATGAACACCCAACCAGCCACCACCGTCGTAATGAGCAGTTAATGATGAAAAATGTGAGCCGGGGAAAAATTCGCGGAAAATCGGATGAAAAAAGGCCTTTTGCCGCGCGTTGATTGTTCAGAAAGTTAAATTTTTGTTATACTGTACCATCGATTATTTTGCCACAAAAAAAAAAGAGTTATCAACTTAATTTTATTGTCATGACGTTAAGAATCGAAAGGGATTTCAAATGAAATGCTGCTTAAAGTTTCTTCTTCTGTATTATTAAAGAAGAAAAAAACAGCATGCCATTGCTGATTCTTATGCTAAAAGAAGAATCAACCTACTGTTCTGTTCATGACGTTGAGAATAGACAGGGACTTCAATTAAAATGTTGCTAAAATTCTCTTGCTTCTGCATTATTGACGACACAAAAGTCATGCCATTATTGTGCCAAAATGAAAGAGGGATCAACGTAGGGTTCTCTTCATGACATTGAGGATTGACAGGGACTTCAAATAAAAATCAGCTAAAAATGTGCCTTGCTTCTCTATCATCAGCAAAATATATTCGAAGGCAAATGCACGAAAAAAAAAGCAATTTGACCGTTGAAAAATGGACGATTCATCGAAAGGAAACTTGGAACTTGCGAAAATAGGACAAGAAAATTTCACCTACATTTATTCCATCGCACCTAAAATTAATTGGCGTAGAAAATTTATTCTTGCTTATATTTTTGATAATTTTTCCTCTCCCAAGGGCAAATGATTTTAGCTCAGTTCGAAAGAACCCAATTGTTTCTGTTGTGCAAGAATCGATTGGCAATGCGAAAGAAGACCTCGATGTGAGGGGATTGTTGCCCTTCGCAAGAAGATGGGAGAACTTCCACCTGAATATGGCTTCGCAAACATAATAATATACCGCAGTATCAAATTTAAAAATTTATTCTGGAGAGAAGAATGCGAATCAACCCTTTCCGAGCGCTTGTGAAGGACATTTGGATTATTTCGTGCCGTTTCTTTCGTTCCAAGTTCAACGTCTTCTTCCGGGCGTGAAGAAGGAAACGAGAAGCGTGAAAGCGACTGTAAGCATTTGAAGATCCGTTTTAAACGANTCTGCATTATTGACGACACAAAAGTCATGCCATTATTGTGCCAAAATGAAAGAGGGATCAACGTAGGGTTCTCTTCATGACATTGAGGATTGACAGGGACTTCAAATAAAAATCAGCTAAAAATGTGTCTTGCTTCTCTATCATCAGCAAAATATATTTGAAGGCAAATGCAAGCCAAAAAAGCAATTTGACTGTTGAACAATGGATGATTCATGGAAAGGAAACTTGGAACTTGCGAAAATAGGACAAGAAAATTTCACCTACATTTATTCCATCGCACCTAAAATTAATTGGCGTAGAAAATTTATTCTTGGTTATATTTTTGATCATTTTTCCTCTCCCAAGGGCAAATGATTTTAGCTCAGTTCGAAGGAACCCCAATGGTTTCTGTTGTGCAAGAATCGATTGGCAATGCGAAAGAAGACCTCGATTTGAGGGCATTCTTGCCCTTCGCAAGAAGATGGGAGAACTTCCACCTGAATATGGCTTCGCAAACATAATAATACACCTCAATATCAAATTTAAAAAATTATTCGGAAGAGAAGAATGCAAATCAACTCTTTCCAACTCTTTCCGAGCGCTTGTGAAGGACATTTGGATTATTTCGTGCCGTTTCTTTCGTTCCAAGTTCAACGTCTTCTTCCGGGCGTGAAGAAGGAAACGAGAAGCGTGAAAGCGACTGTAAGCATTTGAAGATCCGTTTTAAACGAGTCCATAAAACGAAAGCGAAACCCCAAGAATGGGTCCAGTCACGCAAGGGGCTCTTAGTGTTGGGAAAACCTCCCAAACGGCTTTTGTGGGCGAATCGACCAAGCAGGAAGGAACATTAGTCTTGTACGTATTTTTCCTCCTCTTTTTTTTTTTTTTTTTTTTTGTTTGAAAATGACACGAAAAGTTTTGTTTGTTTTTATCCCCCCCTTTTTTTTTTTTTTTTTTTTTGGTTTGTTTGAAAATGACACGAAATGCCCGGGAGCAAGGCTTCATAACCCTAAACCCTGATGGTACAGCGTTTTCCCCACACAACGCATCCGAATTCGAGGTACGACATATTTTCAGTTTCTTCGTTTCGAAACTTCCGTGTCAATCAACAGCAAAAGATGAAGATAGATTCATCCATAAACGCTGTAAAAATCTCGTTATAAGGAATTCCAAAAAAATGGGCTACAAAGTTTTATTTAAATTTGTGACGACAGCGCTCTGGAACAATCACTTCAAGAGGAATCAGTGCCTTAATAGCAGCTTTTCATTATTTTTCTGACTCCAAGAATTTCAGCTTTGCTAAAGCATTGATCGGATTAATTAATTTTTGATTAATTTTCATCAAGTGCTGGAGGACTGAAAACACGAGACATTTTTCAGATTTGATGATATATTCAAGTATCTCTCAGCTGTACCATTTGTTTTTATGCCTTGGCTGGAACAGGAAACATATTCATCATAAATCTAAAGAATTAGGTTTGGTTTTTTTGGGATTGAAATTGTACGGTGTTTGTTATTATTCCCATTGCGTAAAATTTAATACGTCCAATAAAGGCATGCACTTCAGGAATGCATGGCTTTAAATAATCATGTTATAAGGAGATTGAACTTCATTCAAATGCATGATGAAGCTCGATAAAAATGAAAACCGATTACCTGCCAAGCAAAAGTCGACGATCCACTCATGCACTATTGGAAAAAGGTCAGCATGCAAAAACAACTTCCCTGAAAAAAGCACTTGACATGCAATGCAAACGGAAAGAAAACACAAACTCTGTTTTTTTTTAAATGGCTGAACACCAACCTTCATTTTTTCTTCCGAACCTCGTTTTCTTCAAATTAACTCCAAAAAATGGGGCGGGGTGTGAAATTAATGGAAACACAAAATCCGGTAGCCTACGAACCAAAAGAACTGAGGACCGGCCGCGACAAAATGTCCCCCAACTGATCTGTTTAATGCCACGCCCTTCCCAATTTTTTCTTTTCATACGAAAAAAAAAAAAGAAATCTCTTGCAAGACGAAAGAGTGAATCGTAAAACCTCGTTATGAAGAAGAAATTTTCTTTCTTGTTTCAAATACTGACGTCTTCCGGAAAAACCGTTTCCAGAGAACCGTGATCCATTAATTTCTGGAAAACTATAACGAGGCCTTACTTTTCCACAAAAAAAACCCAAACACTGATGGCAGGCAAATGAAAATCAGTGCAGGACAGGAATGAAAGCGAGCAGCTAAAAAATCTTTCGTGCCCAATGAATTTTTCCAGCGTCTTCTGCCCCTTGTCTCAAAAAACCTTCCAAAACAAACAAAAAAAAACGGCAAGAAAGAAAAACGCACTGCGCAAAACCCTTGATTTTTGCGGAAAACATCGTCACTTTTCAAGTCCTTTCTTTCTCCCTCCCTCTCCAAACCCGCCCCGGAAACATTTTTCTTCATCGTCAAAAAAAAAAAAGAATTTCTTGGACCACTCCAGCTACGTTCCGTTTTTGGGTTTTTTTTTCCTGCCGGAAAAAGAGACGCGCCAGGCGGAAAAAAAGCAAACCCGCGGAACTCCAACAGAAGCACGACACGACACCAAAGAGAAGGGGAAAAACAGTTCTTGACTAACCTAGTGAATACTTATTTTTTTTCTTGTCGTTTCGAAAAAAAAAAAATCTTCCTTCAGAAAAAGTGTATCTTTTTTTTTCCACCGCGAAAACAAAAATTGATTGGTCCTTCTTGAAAAAACTTCCAGCTCTCCCGTTATCGAATCCTTTCCTCCGGGACCCTTTTTATTCCGATCCGGAGGCAAGTTTTCAAAAATTCCGGGGAACCCATTTTCCAGGTTCTCTCTTCTTCTTATTTTACTTCCTATAACGACCCCCTCGTTGAGGCGAGAAAAAATCGCATCCTTCCATCTCACCATCAGAAAAAATCCCGAGAACTCATCACTTTTTCAGCGCCTTGCCGAACAGAACAAAAAAAAAGATTTTCCAGCGCTGAAAAAAAAACAAATCTCCGTCGATCGCAGCAACGGAAACATCCTGCGATAAATACGATATGAAAAGGAAACCAAGTAAGAATATCTTTCTTTTTTCTTCATGAAAATTCAAGAAAGAAGGAGAGAAACATAAATATAGAAGAAAAAGGGAAAACTCTTGCGCTCGTGACTAGCCATGAAAAGCGGAGGGCTTTTCTTGAAAGATGAAGCAGAAGAGCTGGCTGAAAATATTCTCGGCCCCCGTTTTCTTCTTTCTCTCTCTTTTTTTCCCCTCATTTTTTTGTTTCTCTTTTTTTGTACAAGCACAAACTTATATAGAATAAGAGGGTTCGAAAAGAAGGATTAAATAAATGACTAAGGGGGGTGGGGGGATTAGGGAGGCAGAAGAAGAAGAAGCAAGGGGAAGAAGGAATCCGACCCGTTTTCCTCGCTCATACGGCAAGAAGGCAAGGGGCGTAACGTTACGATTCGGCGACGATGGCGAGCGGAGAAACGTGGTGCTGCACGTCTCCCATGAAACCCGTATGGTAGCGCCGGACCGGAGGCGCCATCTGGTGGTGCAGGAAGTACAGGTCCTGCGGCGCCGCGTGGTAGAAGGCGGCGAGTTGCGGCGGCAGCCACGGCATGGCGGCTGGCGTCACTGGGGCCGGGGATGGCGGTGGTGGCGACGCCGAGGCGGACTTGGCGTTCACGCTGTGCTGGTGGATGATGGCTTTGATCTGCGGCGGCGTCGGCTTCTTGGGCGCGAATGCCACGCTCAGCGGCTTGGCGAAGTGGTAGTCGAATGTTTTGCACTTCTGGCACTCGTAGCACCTGCTGTAGTCCGAGAAGAACTGCAGGCTCTGCTCTGGCTGCAACACCGGCTCATTGCAATTTGTGCACTGCAAAAATTTAAGAAAGAGAATTTTTTTTTACAATTCGGCTCAAAATCATCCAACTACAGATTAAGCACAAATACGAAATAAAAAAATTGACGAAAGTCTGACAATAATTTTTTCAAATGTTCAGCGCCATCATTCGGGTGATTAAAGAAAAATTTATTTTGCACAGAAGATAATACGAAATCCGAAGTGTCAGAAGACGATAGCAAGTATTTGAAAAACTAAATCATAATAACCTCAGCTCCCATGAAAAAAAAAATTAATCTACCAATGCTGCATTTCCAGAGGACAAACCCAAAATACGAGACAAATGCATACTAATCTAATAATCATTTTGTAGGTCTTCTGCGTCATAAGTTGGGTGATAAGAGACACATTTAATTTCAGAGATTAATATTTCGTTACCATTTGAGATTTTGCACTGAAGAGAATACGCATCATCTCTCGTCAGAGGAAAGTAGGCAAAAATAAATGAAATAAAATGACCTAGACTTTCCTGATTTAATCTTTCAAAGCTACATTTTTCGTTTAATGTGAGAGTAGACCAAGTGCTGGCAGATATTTCGCATGTACAGTACGAACAATCATCTCACTTATTAAAACTCATATCTGAAAATAATTTATTAAACGCCGATGCGAACTGCGTTTCAATAAGAATATAATCCGAAAATCGCGAATTTCTGAGATATTAACGCCGAAATTTCAAACTCCCCCAACATTCTTACTCTCCGAAGAAAAAAAAACAGAAACATGCTTCAATTCTGGCTTTGCAGGATTCAAACTCGGAAATTCCGGTGCCCGAACAATTTCATCAGATGCGAACTGCGTTTTGATGAGAATGTCATCCGAAAATAGCGAATTTCCGCGATATTAACGCCGAAATTTCAAACTCCTCCAACATTTTCTCCGAAAAAAAAAAACAGTAACATGTTTCAATTCTTGCTTTGCAGGATTTTCAACTCCGAAATTCCGGTGCCTGAACAATTTCAACGCGAGGAGCAAACATAACTACTTTGACACATGATTAAACCCGATCAAAAGGGGGTTCAAGTCGAACTCTCGCGGAAATCTGGATAATTTTCCCCCTGAATGAAAAAAATATATTCCAAAAGGGTTTAAAAAAAGAGAATCCTTATGCATGCCAGAAGATAGAAAAGAAAGAAAAGAAAAAAAACGTTGACGCCAGCTCGACTGCCAGAACCCGGTCAACGGATACATCACCTCACACTCGGCCCGGAATTCCCGATAACGTCGCCCCTCGTCTAAGGACCCGACATGACACTTGACCCAATTCCGAAACCCCTCAGAAGGTACAAAACAAGCAAACAAATCCGCAAAGGCGAGATAAAAGGTTCGTGTTTTTCCCGCCGATAAGAAACTCATAACCCCCCACAGGTGCGTCGATCGCACGCATCTCAAACGCCGCATCACGTTTTCTCTTCGGGGTCGTAACATTTTTATCTCGGGGTTAATGCACGACGGCATTACACTCGTCTTTCGAGGAGAAGTAAACAAACAATTTTTCAAAGCGAAAAAAAATGCAGAAATGCGAACAGTGAATTTTGCTACCTGTGCCATAATTTAGGGATATACCCGCACCACAGTATATTTCACTTTAGAAAACATCACAATTTCGACGGGGTTTGAAGGAAAAACTTCTGAAATTTTTTTCCACCGGAAATTGAGCTACTGGCGAAGAAAGAAAAAAAAAATCCGAGCCCTTCGGAAAGTCACGATGAAATTTCAACATTTTCAGGGTACATTCAGATCAGTACCACTTTTTCACGAGTCGTTCAGTACTTTTTAAAAAAGAACAAAAAGATTTACAGTATTTACAAGAAGTGGGAGCATTACTTTTCCATAGCAAAGACTTATTGATCCACGAAACCAAAAATAATTCCGGGATTCATAAAGAAATAATTACGAGGCTTTAATCAAACTGAAATGAGAATTCTGGCTTAACCTAACACATTTTGGACTAATACATGGATTACAGCAATTTTCTCGAGGATTCAGTAATTTTTTTCATGAGGATTTCGTCCATTTTCTTTGAATTTCCAAAGCCCCAACAAAAGTCATCGACCCAAATAATAAAAATAAATATTATAATTCTCGTGTTCGTTCGGTCGATGCCAGGATTAAAAATAATTCTCTTTTCACATTGTCTCATCTTCTTCGAGACAAATTTCTTGATACATGTAGGACCATGATTCCCCAAACTACGCGTTTNGCGAAGTGGTAGTCGAATGTTTTGCACTTCTGGCACTCGTAGCACCTGCTGTAGTCCGAGAAGAACTGCAGGCTCTGCTCTGGCTGCAACACCGGCTCATTGCAATTTGTGCACTGCAAAAATTTAAAAAAGAGAATTTTTTTTTTACAATTCACCTCAAAATCATTCAACTACAGATTGAGCACAAATACAAAAAAAGAAATTGACGCAAGTCCGACAATAATTTTCTCAAGTGTTCAGTGCCATCATTCGGGTGATTAAAGAAAAATGTATTTTGCACAGAAGATGATACGAAATCCGAAGTGTCAGAAGACGATAGCAAGTATTTGAAAAACTAAATCATAATAACATCAGCTTCTCAGAAAGAAAAAAAAATTAATCTACCAAGGCTGCATTTCACAGGACAACCCCAAAATACGAAACAAATGCATACTAGTCTAATAATAATCTTGTAGGTTTTCTGCGTCATGAGTTGGCTGATAAGAGACACATTTAATTTCAGAGATTAATATTTCGCTACCACTTGAAATTTTGCACTCAAGAGAATATGCACTTTAAAGTTTACTTCCATCTCTCGTCAGAGGAAAGCAGGAAAAAAAAAAACCTAGACTTTCCTGATTTAATCTTTCAAAGCTACATTTTTCGTTTAATGTGAGAGTAGACCAAATGCTGGCAGATATTTCGCATGTGCGAACAATCATCTCACTTATTAAAACTCATATCTGAAAATAATTTATTAAACGCCGATGCGAACTGCGTTTCAATGAGAATATAATCCGAAAATCGCGAATTTCTGAGATATTAACGTCGAAATTTCAAACTCCCCCAACATTCCTATTCTCCGAAGAAAAAAAAAATAGAAACATGCTTCAATTCTTGCTTTGCAGGATTCAAACTCGGAAATTCCGGTGCCCGAACAATTTCATCAGATGCGAACTGCGTTTTGATGAGAATTTCATCCGAAAATAGCGAATTTCCGCGATAATAACGCCGAAATTTCAAACTCCTCCAACATTTTCTCCGAAAAAAAAAACAGTAACATGTTTCAATTCTTGCTTTGCAGGATTTTTAACTCCGAAATTCCGGTGCCTGAACAATTTCAACGCGAGGAGCAAACATAACTACTTTGACACATGATTAAACCCGATCAAAAGGGGGTTCAAGTCGAACTCTCGCGGAAATCTGGATAATTTTCCCCCTGAATGAAAAAAATATATTCCAAAAGGGTTTAAAAAAAGAGAATCCTTATGCATGCCAGAAGATAGAAAAGAAAGAAAAGAAAAAAAACGTTGACGCCAGCTCGACTGCCAGAACCCGGTCAACGGATACATCACCTCACACTCGGCCCGGAATTCCCGATAACGTCGCCCCTCGTCTAAGGACCCGACATGACACTTGACCCAATTCCGAAACCCCTCAGAAGGTACAAAACAAGCAAACAAATCCGCAAAGGCGAGATAAAAGGTTCGTGTTTTTCCCGCCGATAAGAAACTCATAACCCCCCACAGGTGCGTCGATCGCACGCATCTCAAACGCCGCATCACGTTTTCTCTTCGGGGTCGTAACATTTTTATCTCGGGGTTAATGCACGACGGCATTACACTCGTCTTTCGAGGAGAAGTAAACAAACAATTTTTCAAAGCGAAAAAAAAATACAGAAATGCGACCAGTGAATTTTGCAACCTGTGCCATAATTTAGGGATATACCCACACCACAGTATATTGCACTTTAGAAAACATCACAATTTCGACGAGGTTTGAAGGAAAAACTTCTGAATTTTTTTTTCTCCACAGGAAATTGAGCTACTCGCGAAGAAAGAAAAAAAAATCCGAGCCCTTCGGAAAGTCACGAAGAAATTTCAACATTTTCAGGGTACATTCAGTACAGTACCACTTTTTCACGAGTCGTTCAGTACTTTTTAAAAAAAGAACAAAAAGATTTACAGTATTTACAAGAAGTGGGAGCATTACTTTTCCATAGCAAAGACTTATTGATCCACGAAACCAAAAATAATTCCGGGATTCATAAAGAAATAATTACGAGGCTTTAATCAAACTGAAATGAGAATTCTGGCTTAACCTAACACATTTTGGACTAATACATGGATTACAGCAATTTTCTCGAGGATTCAGTAATTTTTTTCATGAGGATTTCGTCCATTTTCTTTGAATTTCCAAAGCCCCAACAAAAGTCATCGACCCAAATAATAAAAATAAATATTATAATTCTCGTGTTCGTTCGGTCGATGCCAGGATTAAAAATAATTCTCTTTTCACATTGTCTCATCTTCTTCGAGACAAATTTCTTGATACATGTAGGACCATGATTCCCCAAACTACGCGTTTCCGTCTAGTAGTGCGTCGAACACCTGCACAAAAAGCTGACTTATTGTTCGTTTTTTTTTTTTTTATGCTGCAATCAACAAATTTGGTGCTCCAGTTGCCAGCAACGGCGCAGAGGCAAAAATCAAGACACAGACCGCAAGGCAAACAATTAATTCCCGCCACAGAAGTTGATTGAACTGTGAGAACTTTTTTTTTATTTCCTTGAAAGAAAGCAAGAAAGAAGGAATCAAATTGAGAAAAAGTAATTCAAACGCAGAAAATCGTCGTCGGGCCGCAATTTTCTTCTCAAGGCTGTGGACGGCATTTTTCCACCACAAACGCCGTAATAAGCGTCACCACCCAATTAATCCTGAACGTAATTGTGACGAATCATCTCCCAGCTCAGGGAAACAAAAAATAATAATGCGCAGCTGAAAAGATTATCGTAAAGAAGGAATTTTTCGGTGGATAATTCCCACGAGAGGACCAAAAGAAAAAGGGCAGCCGATTCAACTGGAATCGAATTCTCGTCCGACTCTCTTCTGCCTTGGGTAACAAAGCGACACCCCACCGTGTGTCGTCAACGTCGGTGTCGCTGACGAGCTCGACGTTTCTGTCACGCGAACAAAAGCGACTGGGGGAAAGAGAAGCTGGGAAAAATTCCAGGCTTCCAGCTGGCGTCGAATTACGTCATTTCCTTAGAGAAGAACGAGAGAAAACGTCCAGGATTCTCAGGGTGGCACAAGGCGGAGCAAATCCAATTAGCGTTGACGCATATAGAACCCAATTAACGCTCTCGAATTGATTTAAACTTGTCCCAATGGAATTCGAGCATTGTAAACCTCTGCCTGCTTCCCGTGTTTCTCAAATATCATTAGCGTACGAAAAATACACACATACAATCAAATTTCCCTTCGGGAATTCGGAGTTTCGAACTACACTTTGTCTCACGATTGAAACAATTTAATTTGCTCGGGATTCTTTGGATTTTCACGCCAACTTCGATTGCATTGCAACTGATTTCGCAAAATCTCAGCGAATTCACGACCAAAACCTTCTACTATTAAGCGTTCAAAAAATGTTTGAGCGGTGACAAACTTTGTATTTTTCACTTAGACCGTCAATTCCAATATCATGAACAGTTTTGCGATCAAACAAGTCATAGAGCGTCCTTGTGAGTAAAGAAACCATATTTTGTAGGCTATTCCTGTGCCATGATTTTTACAAAATGTGAACTTTTTGGATTTTCTGCCAAAACTTCGTCCAATACGCAGACATTTTTATGCAGTAAAAAAGCACAGTTTTGTGATCAAACAATTTGGAAAGCTTCGTTGTGACAAAAGAAACCAATATATTTAGTAGATTATTTATGCGCCCGGATTCTCAGAAAATGTGATTTGCGAACGAATTCTGCCAGGTTCGTCTTCGTACGCTCCAGTAAATCTCAAATTGCCAAAACTGCGACCTTTTTGTCACAATTTAGTTTCAGGTCGTCTTAAATACGGTTCACCGATTTTTCCATTACCATAAAATGTCCAAAAAAGGTTCATACATTCGCTGCAAATTCCACCCCGTAAAATGAAGTGGATTTGCAAATGACCCCAGAAAATATGATTTACTCAAAATTTCTGCGAAGATTTTCTTAGCGCATTCTAATGATCCTGAATCAGGAACTTGGGGAAAATTACGTGATTTCCTTCCACAAGATTAGTCTATGGTTGTCTTAAATACGGTTCACCCATTTTTTTCTCCATTCCCAAGATGGTAAAAAATATTCGTATATTCGCTGTGATTTACACCCTGGAAACTGAAGTAAATTTGCGAGTTACCCGAGAAAAAAAGATTTACTCAAAATGTCTGCGAGGATTTTTTTCGCACATTCCGAATAGCCTGAAGTTTTCTTAAATACGGTTCACCCGTTTTTTTTTTCATTACGAAGATGGAAAAAAAGATTCGTACATTCGCTGTGATTTTTACTCCAGAAAATGAATTGAATTTGCAAGCGACCCGATAAAATGAGATTTACCCTAAATTTCTGCGAGGATTTTCTTTGCGCATTCCAAAGAGTCTAAGGTCGTCTTGACTACGGTTCGCCCATTTTTTTCTCCATTACCCAGATGGCAAAAAAAAAAAAAGATTCATATATTCGCTGCAATTTCCACACTGGAAACTGAAGTGAATTTGCGAGTGACCCCAGGAATGCCGAGCAAGCACGCTCCAAGAAATAAACGCTCACTTCCCGGGGTCCAGAAGTCGCTCATAAATGAGTCGGGGAATTTTCGGCCCACACCCGACCTCGCCGGAGATAATTAAATCATCAGCTGAGAAGAGGGCGAGAGCATCTTTCGCCACGTTTCGCGTGATGTCAGCCAGTCAGAGGGAATTATTCTGGCATAAATACACAAGGCGAAGGCAGGAAAAAGGGAATAAAAAGGAATCTCCGCACTCAAGTCTCGCTGAATATTCATAAGACCTCGGGCAACCCACGCGAAAAAGGAAAAAGAAAAAAAAAAACCCCAGCGGAAATACGTCTTCAAGGATGAATAAAACAATATTTCTTCATCTTCAAGATAAACACTTCATGGTGTCATTCCAAAAGAATAACGCGTATTTTTCTTTCCGTCCTTGGTACATGACCAAGCCAAACAAATCAGTTTGGAAGCACAGTAATTTGTGACTCGACCAAAAGCGATGAGTACCACGTGAAATGACCCATAACTAACTAAATTGAATTGCGAGACGTTTTTAGAAAATTCGATGGACTTGGTCGGGACAATTTCTGCTTATGTCACTTGGCGCTCCGAATGTAAGAAAAGGGGTTTCCTAGCCTAACCCATAAACATTATGCATCAAAAAATGTAAATCGAGTGTCGCACAAAATAAAGTTGCGAAAATATGATTAAGGTGTCCTGGGCCAGAAGTAATTTGCAGAGGTTGGAAGTAATATGGAAATGAGTTCGAATGTAAACATGAGTACAACATTTAAAGTTTTAATTATTTCCCACACAAATATTAAAAAAGAATCGACGTTTTTCGCTAAAAAAAAAACCGGGTTTACAGATTGCTTTCCAATCCCAGCGCAAAAAAATTCCATCACCATTCCAGAGTGTGCTGACATCAAGCCAGGTCAAGTCCATTCACGGGTTCTTGCCCTTACATTTAGAGAACGAAGCATCTGGTTGGGTCACTAACGTCAGGTACGAGTATCGAAAAAACACACGAGGAACGAAATATCTAACCCAGGGCACCCATAAACACACTGGGGGGATCAGGCAAGAGTTGAACCTTTCAGATGAGATTGATTTTTGCGCAGTTCCGTCTCATTTCTCAGGGCCTCCCCCAGAGGCGGTGTTTCCATAAGAAACTCTCGGGCTCGGAACCGATGCGATTCGCCTCGGTGTGAGATTTTTGTTTTTATTTCACTTTTTGAGATCTGGGTGGCTTTTTGCGCCCGGCGGAAGCTGGGTTGACAAGGAATGCGTGCAAGAGGGGGGGGAGATGGTTTATGGGTTCCTCGCCCTTTGCCCCAATTTTTCACATATGTGTGTCGGCATTTTTGGTGGAGCCCAGGGCCCCGGGTTGTCCACAAGGTCTTTGTCTCTGGCCTGCGCCAACGTTGGCACCTACCTATCAACGGATTTCCGAACGAACCCAGTCAACTCTGCCTTGGGGACCTTTATCTTTTCTTTTCATAGCCGAACACCAGAAGAGAACCCAACACGCTTCAACCGTTCGAAGAAAGGAACTCTAGTAATATAAAAATCAAATGACACGACCCGGGTAATATTCATCGGATCCCACGCCACTATTCAAGTTAAGCTGGGTTTCTATTCGTCACTTTTTTTTCTCTCTCATGTGAGTTACCTCAGAAACACAACCCAACACGACGTCAATGAATGTTTTCCATTGAAGCGATGTCGCAAAACAAAACAACATTGAAAAATAATCGATGATGAAAAAATGTATAAAGTTCTTCATGTAACACGTCCTCCGAAGCACAAAAAAAAATATTTGAAGCAAGCCTACTGATTTTTCTCGGTTGAGGTTATGAGTTAGGAAGATTCCGTTGGATTTTCCGATTCTGCATTATCGAAACTTCATTTTCCGCGAGCAGAAAATAGTTGCGTGATTTTCAATTGTGTTAATCATGCACTACTTCTGCGAACAAAATTTAAATACTGCGAAGAATTTGAGTTTCGCATATTTCGCCAAAAAAAAAACTAACCTTGAGACGTTCGGCACAACAGGGAACTGTGGCAAAGATGTCGAAGGCGTACATCGAACCCAGAACCAAGTCAGACCCATCCCAAGGTTTGTTGCAACCTCGACACTTCAGCGGCGAACCCCAACCTTCCAGGCATCCCATACACACGCTGTTGAGGTATTCTGCTCTGTTTTCATATTTCACCTGAAAAGTTTGAGGAAGAGAAGAAAAATGTCAGTTATTAGTGTCTAAAGGCGTGCAATTCAAGGAGTGAAGAATGATTCGTCATTTTTATCATTATTGCAAAATTAGGTCCATCACATGGACCTTGCACAAAATTTCAACTAAATTTCAGCGCTGAATTTCACACATTTTTTAAAACTTATTTTACTCATTTCAAGAGGGGAACATTATTCTTGAATTTTGCCAACGCTTCTACGCAAAGGAGGTTTTTTGGGTCTTCAATTGGCATCATTATTTCAAATAATTCTTTCATTATTTTAAAAGTGTAAACATTATTTTTCCCCATCTAGTGCGGATTGAAAGACCCATCGAATTTATTATCAAGAGCTGGAGAACATCATTCCAACGTTAACTTTAGCCACGCATTTTACGGCCGAACAGAAGCAAATCTTCGCTGGATTGCCATTTTTCCCGAGAAGGCGACGAGGCCAAGTTCAGCAGAAATTACAGCCTTTTCTTTCTTTTCCTCTGCGATAAAATACTCAGTGACCTCGCAAAATTTCTCGGCAGCACTTCCTAGGTTGTAAAAAAAAGCGTTTTTATCCAAGGTGAATGAAAATACTTTTGCGGAAGTTTCCAATTTCGTAGCCTCAAATTTTATGGCTTTTTAAAAAACTTGAACAAAAAGTGATTTCATTCGTCATGAGAACGAACCTTGATCGGGCGGTTCCAACCGAATGCAAATCATAATTATCTTTTTATTGTACCTGAGAAAATTATCGGAATTGATGGTTGATCATGAATCATGATAACGTCAATAATACGCCCGCATTCAGAAAAATAAACGGATCGCCAGTTGTTCGAATGTCGCATTACTTTATGAGGCTGGTTTTTATTTTATTTGTATTCCCCAGAAATGTGAATCAGTTCCCTCTCAACGGATTGAGGCTTATTTCAACAAATATTGCTTTTGAACTTACATTTCCGAACTCGAAACTCCGACTTCACATTTGAATACACTATAAAAGTCTTCACATATTTAGATGTTGTTGTAAATCATAAAAACTTCGTGACCAAAGAATTTATGCATCTATGAAAAAGGTAACTGGTGATAAATTGGCAATCGATTTTATTTCCGTCTTCCTTTTTTCAGCAGTCGGCTGAAATGCCAGTACTTTTTCTAATTTGGAGAACACGAAAATCTACAAAAATTAGTGTAGAATGATTCGATCAATCTCATTTCCCCCCTGAGATTCTTCGTGACGAGGTATTTAATTTAAAACTCGAAAGGGAACGCTTGTCGAGGTATTTTGAAAATCCTTCCAATAACCGTCACAATAATAACGGAATTTTAATTATTATTTTCATGACTTTATTTTGATGACATCNCAATCATCTGTCTGTCTGTCTGTCATTAATGCAACAGATGGAATAATAAAAATGTGACTCACCTCTATACACTGTTTCGAATGCTGTCGAGGCGACAGGAAAAACGTGCCGTCGATCAAAGGACACCTGGGGAAAACCACAAGTGAACGTTGCAATTTTTTTCGCATCGTGAAAAGCGCACGCACAAAAAGGAATTTGCAACTCACCGGTCAAAAACCGTCATCCACGTGTTGCACAAGCAACAAGATACTCTGCTGATTTTCAGCGCGAGAAGTCGGTTCAAAATGAACGGCCTGATGTCGTCATTCTGACCGTCGTCATCAATCTAAAAAAAATAATAGAAAGAAGCCTTCATTTATAAATCTTTTCAACATTTTTTTTTTCATTTCGAACGTCTGATGACTCGTTGTAGAGAAAAGAGAAATTTTCGCGCGACTTGGCGGAAGTGAGTCAGCAATAAAATCGGCCGTTCGCGCAATTTTCTCTACAGCTGCCAACTTTCCGGCCAACAAAGGCCGCGTGTGCAATTATTCCACGACACAAGGCTGAAAAAACATATCAACCCATAGGGTTCCTTCAGCTGAAGGACAAGAATTGTCAGAAATTTACGAAAGCTGGTTCAACGTAACTCGAGAAAGCGTTTGGAATATTTAAAAAAAACTCGCTTCCCTTCACCTCAGAACCCAATTTCACGCAAAATTCTTCTTTGAATAAGGAGAATTCCCCGATCCAAAATTTCAAAAACCTTCTCAGTAATGAACGGATGTCAAAATTTCAAGCATATGTAAAAAATATTATTTCTTTTCGTACAGGACTGCAAATTTACATCAATAAAGCCTGAACGAATCACAGGAAAAGTAAAAACAAATCAATTTTGACAAATTGTGCTGACCGCGCAATTTCTTGAATGATCCTTGTTTTTTTTAATTCGGAAGCATTTGACACTGAACGAATCCAAAAGTAAAAAAATGAAACTGGGACAGGTGAGCCATTTTTTTTATACAAGTTTACAGTATTTCTACTTCCGTCTCCTCTACTTTTCAACCTTCAATTGGCAAAATTTTAAAATGTCCACTAAATAATTTGAAAATTTGGTGGGGAGAACCCACTCAGAAAACATCGAAACCAGCCCCTGTTTATGCTCCTTAAGCAAAATTTGCCCACGTTATTACAGCAATATAATTCAGGCGTACCATTTTTTTTTTTTGGCAGAGCAGAAAAAAGCCAAGGCATGTTAAACAATAAACAAGACGATTACCGCTAGAGTCGGGACCGCAGCCGGATGCTAACAAGCAATACATTTTTAATTTCTCCACCCAGAGCGAGAAATACAGGAAACAAGAATAATAAAAAAAACGGACCCAACGATAGGCAATAAACTTCTCCAACCATTATTTTTTTCGCAAGTGAGGGGGCGGAAAAATTGAGTCGGGACAATAACAATGACCGATCACTTTTTTTCGCTCTACCTATTCAATTGCACCGACGTTTCGCTATTTTCTCGCCCTCGCAGGAAAATCATTTCCCGCCCCCACGGTGTTCTAGCTTCCTGCCACACGAAAGAAGACAACAAAAAAAAAACTGCACGGGATGATTTCATCCCACCGCGAGAAAACTTGGCACATAATTTCCGAATTAAGGCCGAGCGGAAACCCTTAATTAACCGCGAGTAATTCGACGAAGCCGCCGGAAGCTTGCGGAATTTTCTGCACCCCGGAAGCGGCTGCGAGAGGGAGCGAACGAAAAAAAAAATCCATAAGGCAAATATTGCCCAGGGAAAAGACACCCATCGACCCAACGGCTGGTTCATCCCTGACCTAGAACAAGCGGCCCAGGGTCACGGGGCTCCCACGTGGTTTCACATGGAAACGGCTGACACACACACAGAAAGAGAGAGAGAAGCGAAATAAAACGGGGGAAATCTCTCTCTCTCTCTTCCTCGTGGTCCCCCCTAGAACCCAGTTGCCAGAGCGCCCAACAACAAGCACTCCCTCTCTGGAAAGAGCCACTTCGCCCGCTATTTTTTTCCATCATTCCCGCCTTTCTCACAAGAGCGAATCGATCTCTAGCTCATTCTCAAAGTGAGGGAGGCTCGGTTTTCAAGATCGCTCGCATGGTAACACATGCCTGGTCACACGTTTGGTTCAACGGACTCTGAACCCGAAAATCGTGAGGAAAAAAGAACCCCTTTTCAATCCTGCAAGCACAGGGTGGATCATCAAAAAATATACCCCGAATAGTTGCAGCAATAAAACGGCAAAGAAAACAAAACAAATAAGGGATTAAACTTCTGAAACATCATACAGTATTCAATTTCACAGTCTTACAGGCCGTAAATTGGCATGATCACCAGACGCTTCTAAATCACCGTGTAAATTTGGTCAGGTTTTTTTTTTGTGACGAATATTGGATGGTCATGAATATGGTCTCTTAGTTCTGCCTGCTTTAAAATCATTCGCCGAAAATAGCCTTCGTTCCAGTGCGCCATTTCAGATTTCAGGATTTTTCCCAGTCTCCCCGTGATGACGATAAGATTTCTTGATTTCCATTGGAATCAATTCTGGATTAAATTTGTAAGATTCAATACCATATTCTAATTTTAAAACCATTATGAATATGCTTGGACTTCATTTATAATGGAAATGCATCTTTTGCGAATAATGCAAGGTACGATTGTGACCTCCAAAAATAAAGTCATCATATTCAACACTGGAAAGTCAGTACATGAATTCAAAATAACAGAACCCTTACATTTTTAGCTAGTCTCTTCGTTGCTGGTTTTTTTTTGGTGCTATTTATACGATGCGTATCGATTTCTGATATTCTGTATCCCCAAGAAATTGTGGTGTGGTGTTGAAGGCATCAGAAGCCTTATGCCTCACATGAATGTCGCCAGAAAATTCGGAAATCTCTCCATTTCTCTTCTCGCTTATCTTTCCCCCACAGACAAAAAAAAAGTATATTCCAGGAAGATACGCGAGATATTCTTGAAATATGCTAATGGGATATTGTTCAGCCAGAAGTTTCTCAGAGAAGCTTGGCAGAAGGATGCAGGAGTGCAGCGGTGTGTTCCAGCGGTGTTTCGGGGGTTCCTGTCTTCTTTCTGTCCATCGGGGTTGGAGAACCCGGGTCGCGGGTTCAACGGCCCCTCGCAACCCCCCACATACAGAGAAAACCCCTTCTCCTTCCTTTCTACTTTTCCTTTTGTTTACTCCTCCACTCTTTCTTGAGGATTCCACGAATATTTTTTTTTTACTTCTTCTGACTTCTAAAAGATAGAAGGCTTTAATCCTGGATCGCAATTCCATGAGATTCGAATGTTCTGCGCCGAAAATAAACTCGTGGCAGATGGATTCCGGGATTTTACGGTTAGGATATAAAAGATTTCGTTCAATTTTCCAGCAGGGGCGAGTCTGGCACATGGCGTAGGATTTGGTCAAACAGATTCCCCGGAAATGCCATTGCTTTTATCTGGATTAAATTTTCCGCAAAACCCCTCTGACAGATCCCCCCTAAAAAAAAAAAAAAACGGGGGAACTCGGGGCCAGTTTGAAAAGCGTCACTGGAACTTTCTTCGGAGGGAACATCCTTGATCCAATAATGGCAACAGCTCAGGGGCGAACCTGGGCCCAATCGATCCCAAAGTCTCGCACACACACACACGCAGTCGGATCAAACGCCGCGGGGCCCCGAAAAAGCGGGAGGAAACCTGGGTGGGGAAGATGACATCCATCTCCCCGGGAAAATAACGACCCCCCCAACGCTGCCAACTGCGCAGAAACGCAATCCTCCCCCCGGTCTGAAAACAAGGACGAATGGAGTGATACCCACGACTTCAGTTCCCGCGTCTCTAGGAGAAATCTCGATTGATACAACTGCGCATTTGGTTCTTCTCCAGTACCCTCGAACCCGGTCTTGAATTTTTGTTCCGTTATATTCTACTTTCGTCATATAATCTAAAATTATAAAAAAATAAAGCGACATTCTCAATGAAAGACTGTCGACCTGCATTTTTTTGTCTTTTATAGGTACAAGAGGAAATAAATTAGGAAGCATGGGCAGCACAAATATTCCGGGTTCAGTCAACAGATCAGGAGAGAAAATTAACATTTCCGAATAAAGATGTCGCTGTAAAACGGTTCTTTTCTCAAAATACAGGTGTAAATCTCTCTAAAATGAAATTATTCGTGTAATATATTTCATGCATGTCAACAGCCACTTCACTGATATTTTTGAATCAAGTGCTGAAGCTGAACTGAAGAAGTTCCAAAATTAGGTGTTTCTTGAAAACTTCGTTATACAGTACAGTGCTGCTACAGAATTGGGGAAAAACAACCTGACTAATTATAACTGAAGCATTTTTCAAATAATAAACCTCTAGAGTCTCAGATTGTGTAGCACTACATATTTTATAGCATCAAATATTGTATTGAAGACCGGGAAAAACTTCGTGCGTTTTCATAAAATCGTAGATTGCCAAATTTATGTTGAAAAATTATTTCTAAATTTACGAAGAGAATGAAAACGCAGAAAAACTTTTTTTGGGTTATAGTATCAAGCTTTCTTGTCCTAATTCTGGCCACTCATAACGTGGAGGCCACTTAAATTCTTCCATTCATTAAACTTTTATTCCAAGAGAGCTATCATTTGCCTTAGAATATTTTAGTGGGCAGCTGAATCAAGAAATGTCAAGTTCAATTTTCCTGGAATTCCGATAACATTGGCTAAAGACATTAAGGTATGTTGTTCGATTATTCCAAAGCTGTCTATGGTCTTCTAAAATAAATTCACACAGGTGCATATGATAATAAAACCCGGGGGTGGGGGTTCGATGGCATTCATCCGAGGAAATTCGATCTGCAAAAAGTCAACAAACTCGTATTGTTTTGACACACGTACAACTACTCCCAAGCGATCAATTAACACGTCGAGACGGGGCGTGATGACAATTAGCAAGTGTCATCCGAACACATCGTCGGCGAAGAAAAACAACTTGATTGACGAGAAATTCCCTCGTCACAATCAGGGATCATTCCAAAAGTTACTCCAACAAAAACCCATCTCCCCAAGTTTGAATTCACGAAAACCCCGATTTCCCGAAATATTTCTTCAGTTTCAAATCTTTCGCAAATTCAACGCCTCCTCGCGATTTTTTTCTTTCCGTCGAAATGCCACGGACAAGGTTGTAACACGCCCTCGCGAAGGGCAGCCACGCTTAACCTAGAAACCCGACGCCCGAGAAACCAAAAAATATGCGGGAAAAAATAAATAAATTGTAAAACGAAGTTGACAACGACGGTGACGCCGTCTCCGTCGTCGACACGCAGCGACGGGGCTTGTCGTCGCTCAGGCGTTATCGCGTGTTCTTGTTTTGTGTACATGGGTGCACGCGAAGAACACGCAAAGCTATTTCTGAGCAACGATAACCCATGCGAGCGAGGAAATAAAAAA